TACTCTATGCCCATTTTCACCTTGTCTTTTCAAGCCCCCATTGAACCTTTCCCATTACTCCACCCCCCCCTTCTATCCACTAACCTCTGCTAGCCCAGTAATTCTTTTTCTTCTTTCCCCTTTTTCTGTCCCTCTTTTCTCCTTTCTCTTTCAAATATTTATACATATTTTACTCAGCTATCTTCTTATTTTTACAGTAGTAGCCTTATGCAATATTTATCCTTATGTGACTGAGATATTTCCTTCAGCATAATATGGAGCTGGGATTTTGCCTTTCTTTTAAATTTCAAGTGGACACTGGTACTGTTATTCCAGGAACTTTCATTTGCATAGAGAAGCTTCAGGGTTCTTAAAAAAAGCCAAAACAACACAAAATCAAAAAACTCCAACAACCCAACCCTGAAAACCAACATGTAGCATTCTTATATGGGGTCCAAACTTATGTGAGCTATCAGGAAATACAATAGATGGTCTGAGTTAGAAATGTTTCCCTGTCTTTTGGAAAGAACCACACTTTTTGCTGTTTTGTCTTGATTTTGTTTGTTTGACTTCTCCATAAACAGCCTCCTCTGTCAGCTGGCATAGATAGGTAGTGTAGGGTAGCATAGGAGGTCTTTTGCAGCATATTTACCCAATAAAGAAGTAACTTTTTTTTTCCTTTGTGTCCATGATTGTTGATTGTAGATCCACATCAATACAATTCTTGACAATTTTCATTCTTTATCCAGTTGCCATGATGTTGTTAATTGATGCAACTGTGAGAATTTTTGTTCATTTGATGTTAAGGTGTAATCCATATTGTAGGCTCTAGTCTTAATTTTCATCAATAAATACATTAGGGCTAATTCATTTTCCATAGGCAGTAATAATGTATTGTGTACATTTCTTAAGCTGTTAATGAATGTTTCCCTAATACTGATCCTGAGGACTTGTAAAGTCAAGATGTTTGGATTATTTATTTAGTACACAGATTTGAATAAGTTTGGTCGAAAAGTACAACCTTGACATTCAGTTTTTCTCATTTTGAATCACACAGTATCCCCTTATTCTTTTTTGAACAACTACTTCTTTGTCCATGTACAGGTTTAACATGAGCAGAGTTACAGTATGTTTTTGGCATCCACATAAGTAATGCATACACATATAATACATACAAAGAGATAAGCAATTAATTCCAGAAGGGATTTTCTGTTTATAAAATACCCTGTGATGAGTTCATTTGCCCAAAAAGACCATAAGCATTCTGGAATTCCCATATTTGCCCACGTTATTCATAATTTGTGATCCATACAGTTGAGAGCCTGTATAAACATGTAAAACACATGTGAACACTTAGGCTCTCCTGACACATTTCTTGATGCTCAGAGAATGATGTTTTTAGACATGTTTTACATCTCCATAGGAAGATTCTTGACAGCTAAAAATATTTGTTATTGTTAGATGTTCTCAAGTCAACTACAGCTCAACGACCATAATGAATAATTAATCTGAACCCTTGGCCAGTATATCTTTCCTGTGCCTTCATCACAATCTTCACCATCATTGTATCAGTCCTGTCTATCTTGTTGAGGTGTTTACCCTGTTTTGCTGACCCTCTACCTTTTTCCAAGGACTGGATCCTCACAACAACATACTCAAGAGTTTCACCATTCTTGCCCCCAAGAGCAACTTTGGTTACACTTCTCCAAGACAGATTTGTTTGTTCTTTTGGTAGTCCATGGAATATTCAGTACTTTTCACCCACACCACAATTCAGATTCTTCACAATTGATTCTTCTTTGGTCTTCCTTATTTATTTCTCATCTTTCAAATGCATAGGAAGTAATTAGATCAGACAGACATTAATCTTTGACATCTTTGCTTTTTAACACTCTAAAGAGGTTCTTGATGTCACATTTTTCCAAATGCAACCTCTCTTTTGATACCGTGACTGCTATTGCTTTTAACAGTAGTGGTAGAGCCCAGATTGAAGTCAGTCAAAATGACGAAAAATAATGGCAAACAATGTTAAATAATTGGAACATAGAATGTGCGCACCTTGAATGTTGGAAAACTAGAAATTGTGAAAAATGAAATGGAATGCAGGAATGTCATCATACTAGGCATTAGTGAGATGAGATGGACTAGCTTTGACCTCTTAGAATCAAATAATCATATGGTATACCATGCTGGAATGAAAACCAGAAGAATAATGGTGTTGCAGTCATAGTAAAAGAGCCAATTTCAAGTTCTATCATAAAATGCAATGTTGTGAGTGATATGATACTGTCCATATGCATACAAGGAAGACCCATTCATGCGACTTATTGTTCAGATATAAGCTCCTACATCTGGTTGTATGAACGGGTCTTCTTTCTATGAATGTTTTGAAGTATTGAACACCATGATTGAAGATCAGATGAGTTAGGGATAATATCAAGAATATCATCTATGAAGAAAGCAAAAGATCTTTACAAAAACAGGAGAAAGAAAAAACCTAAATGGATCTTAGAAGAGACCCTAAAAATTGGACTAGAGCCTTCAGGAAGCCAAAAGAAAGGGGAAACATCCCAAAGTAAAAGAGCTAAATGGAAGATTACAAAGGGCAGATCAAGAAGACAAAGTGAAATATTTAATGAAATGTGCAGAGAGCTGGAATTGTAGTATAAAAAGGGAAGAAATTGCTCTGCATTTCTCAAGCTGAGAGAACTCACAATATTGAAAGATGCTGTGGACGATATATTGAATGACCCAGAAAGCGTCAAAAGAAGATGGAGGGAATACACAGAGACACTGTACCACAAAAAACTGACACTGAAAAATTTCAGGAAGTACCATATGAGCAGGAGCCAGTGGTAACTAAGGAGGAAGGGGAAGCTGCATTAAAAGCATTGACAAAAAAAATAAAGGCCTCAGGAATTGATAGGATACCAACCGACTTGTTTCAGTTAACAGATGCAGGCTGGATGTGCACACCAGTCTATGCCAGAAACCTTGGAGAACAGCTGTTTGGCCAACGGATTGGAAGAGACCCATATTTGTTCCCATTCCCAAGAAAGGTGATCCAACAGAATGTGGAAACTGTAGAACAATATCATTAATATCACATGCAAGCAAAATACTGCTGAAGATTATTTTTAAAAGGCTAAAACAGTACATAGATGGGGAACTGCTAGAAGTTCAAGCAGGATTTGGAAGAGGCTATGGCACCAGGAATATAATATCTCATGTCAAGTGCATCCTGGTAGAAAGTAAAGAATTCTAGAAAAATGTCTGTTTATGCTTTATTGACTATGCAGAGGCATTTGACTGTGTGGATGGGAATCCCAGAGCACTTAATTATGCTCATGCAGAACCTATACCTGGACCAGGAGGCTGTTGTGCAAAAGAGCAAGGGAGCACTACATGATTTCAAATCAAGAAGGGAGTGTGTCAGGGTTATATTCTCTCTCCAAACCTATTCAGTTTCTATACTGAGCAAATAATTTGAGAAACTAGACTCTGAAGAGTATGGCTTCAGAATTGGAGGGAGACTAATCAAATATTTTGTGTTACACAGATGACACAACCTTGCTTGCTGAAAGTGAGGAGGACTTGAAGCACTTGTTCCAGAAGAGCAAAGAATACAGCCTTCAATATGGATTACATCTCAGTGTCAAGAAAACAGAGATTCTTATCAATGGACTGATAGGCAACATCACGATAGATGGAGAAAAGATTGAAACTGTCAACAGCTTTTTCTTACTTAGATCAATAATTAATATCCTTGATACCAGCAGACAGGAAATCAGGAGATGTATTGCACTGTGAAAGTCCAGTTAGGAACCTTTCCAGATTATTGAGTAATGATGTCAGTTTGAGGACTAAAGTGCATCTGATTCAGGTCATGGTCTTTCTGAACACTTGATGGGTATCTGAGAGGTGGACACTGAATAAGGATGACAGAAGAAGAATTGACACCTTTGAGCTATGGGGTTGAAGAGTGCTCAACATTCCATGGATCGCCAAAGGAAGAAACAAGTATTTTTTGTAGAGCATGCAGCCAGATTGCTCTTTGGAGGCAAAGGTGATGAGACTTGGCCTCACATACTTTGGGCATGTTGCTAAGAGGGGCTCTTCCTCGGAGAAGGACATGATGCTCAGAAAGGTAGAGGCTTAGCTAAGGACAGGAAGACCAGGGAGATTAACACAGTGACCCTATGAAGGAGAGTCCTTGACGCTTGGGTGCCTTTCATCCTCTCTCCAGGTTCATAGGGTTTCTGGAGGCAAGCTATTATGAAAGTGGATGCCACTCCTCTTTCCAATACAGTTGAATAGGTCATTTGGTGTTCTATCAGTTCCTGGGCCCTTATTTTTAGCCAGTACCTCCAGGGCAGCTTGAATATCTTCCTCCATCACTCTTGGTTCTTGATCATATACTACTTCCTGAAATAGTTCCACATTAGCCATTTCTTTATGGTACAGTAAGTCTGTGCATTTCTCTCCATCATCTTTTGATATTTCCTGTACTGTTCAACATTTTGCCCTAGAATCCTTTAGTATGGCAACTTGAGGTTTGAATTTGTTCCATTTTCTCAGTTTGAGAAATGCTGAGCATGTTCTTTTCTTTTGATTTTTCTTACTCCAGGTCTTTGCTCATATTGTTATAATACTTTGCTTTGTCTTCTCAAGCTTCCCTTTGAAATTCTATTCATCTCTTACTTCAATTTTCTGTTCTTTTGGCCTCTCTGTGGTCTAGTTTTGACTTATCATGTTCTAGCTTTTCCCCGTATTTGTTGCTAGGAGAGGTTATTCCTCAGGGAGGGACATCATGCTTGGAAAGATGGAGGAACAATGAAGAAGAGTAAGACCCTGAAGTAGGTGAATTGACAGTATAATTGCAGCATTGGGTGTCAGAGGTTGTGAATTGACACAGGATGAGATCTGTTCATAGGGTTGCTGTGAGTGGTACTCGACTTAAGGGCATCTAACAGCAACAGCATTGTAATTTTCAGAGTCTCTTCTAACAACGCTTTTGGTCTATTATTTCTCCGCTCTCTTTGTAATGTCCAGATTTCATCTGATCTTTGATCATTAGTGCTCAATGCCTCAAACTTATTCTTGAGATGGTTTTTAAATTCAGGTGGGTTAGATTCAGGGTGGATTGTTTTCGTTTTCTTCAATTTTGAATTTGCACATGAGTAATTGATAGCTACTTGTCCTTGTTTTTACTCCTGATAAAGACTAATTTTCTTGTATAATTTGTAATCTTTGTTACAGTTTTATTCTACTTGGATTAACAGTAAATCTTCATGCAGTATTTGTTAAGAGATTAGACAGTTTACTGCATTGAAAAAATACACTGTAAGAGACTTTAAAATTCTGAAATGTTCTCAGATCGATGTGACATTGTCGTGAAAAAAAATTCTGAAAAATAAAGATGCTACTTTGATCATATTTAGTCATATGATGACTTGTAAAAAGAACAAGAACAACAAGGGGACAGCCATTATCAGATCTTTTCCAACTCCATAAAAGGGAACTGCTCCCACCAATAACACACAACATAAAACCAATTTCCATGAGGTCAGACATGTCACCCACCCTCCCACACCTCATCCTAACCAATCTTACTGCTCTTCTGGGTCCACAATTCATTGCAAAAGCTCAAAGAACACATGGAACTGGTCTTATGATTATAGGCTTTATTTGAGAAGTTAACAGGATGCAATTTCAGTTGACAACAGAGTATATTTTCTCATTCATGACAGCTTTCAAAATGTGCTCATAGGCGCCTCAGCCTTCAACCTCACGGTTTTTGGTTACAAAGCTCCTAGTCCTACCAATTTTGGCTCTGCCCCGAGTCCTCCAGCAAACTGGGCAGAGGCTCCCCGCTCCAGTCCCAAGGTCAGCTCTGTCTCAGGTCAGATCTCTGCTTCTCTGCTGTGGCTGTTCCCCTGTAGCCCTGGTCCTGAAGGATACAGCACTACTCTTCATTCTCTACTACTTCTCTGCTGGTGGTGAGATTCTCAAATTCTGCTGTCAGAGCTGCTCAATTTAGTCATGAGACTAACCATTTCCCCTATAGGTAGGCTAACACACCCTATTCACATTTTTGGCCCATCCACACGGCAAAGTCAAAGTCTGTGGCAAGGAAAGGCATTTTTTTAACAATAAGGCATTAACACCACATAACTTATCTTGGAATCAGGAATTCTTATGTCTCTGCTCTTTAAAGTAGTTAAGATGGGGGCTTGCTCTTAGACTTCTCCCTGTATAGTTTATCTGTTTTCTGGTTAAAGTTTTATATTACCTTTTGTGACTCTTAAGTTCCATAGTTTCTCTGACTGCTTTTCTATTACTTGTTTTTGACCATATTTTGCCAGTAAAACTACTTGCTGAAACTATAGCAGTAACAGTTCTTTCTTTGAGAAATAATTCAGAATCAATTCTTTAAGAGATGATAGCCTTTACATAGAATTCAGAACTATGTCATTTTATTCTTAATATTAATCAGCAATGTTTGTTGTAGAAGAGTGTTTTAGTTCAACGAGTTTCTCTCAAAGAGCTACTTATCTTTACCCTCATGAAATATTTAAAATAGAACTTACTTGGAACTTTTATTTAGAGAGAACCTCACACACCTCTCCTAGGAAAAATTACACATGTGATTAATTTTTAAATTTCTCTTTAATCTTCTTTTCTGCCTTATTGTTCTGGTCTTCAGTGTTTTGTTGATCCTGTTTTTCCAGAAAATTTTAGTCATAATAGTTCAGTATAGTACCTTGAGTCAGCGGAGTTTTCATTTTCCATTTATACGAGCGGTTTTGTGAAAAAAGTATAACATGTTTAAATTATTATATCATTTCAAACCAATAAACAATTAGAATTTAGGTAATTATGAGAAATCTACTTAAAACAGTCTGTGCATTCTTATTAAAAGTATTGTGTATGCTGTATTTATCTTGATTGGGACATTAGCACATTAGTAGCCACTGAAACAATGAAGTTTAGATAGATATGTCCATAATAGATTAAAGCTTTGTATAAATATGCTACTAATGTAATCATGCAATATTTTTATTTTTAATGTTTTAATAGATAAAGTCAAACCTAAAGTCAAGAGGAAAGAAGAACCAAGCTCTATTTTCCAGAGACAGCGTGTGGATGCCTTACTTTTAGATCTCAGACAAAAATTTCCACCTAAATTTGTACAGGTAATGAGAATGTGTATGATTAATTTTGACTGGGTAATCTTTTGGGAACTTTCTTTTTATGTGTTGTTATGTGCTGTCAAGTCGCCTGCGACTCATAGTGACCCTATGTACAATAGCTCTGAATGCTGCCCTATTTTGAGCCAATCTCATCATCTCCCATAGATCCAACCCCATTTCTCCAGTCAGTCCATTTCATCCGGGGACTTTCTCTTCTACACTGTCCGTCCACTCTTCCAATCATGATGTCCTCCTCCAAGGACTGGTTCCTCTTGGTCACGTGCCTAAAGCTTCAGAATCCTTGCCTCCAGGTTGATCCTCTCTAGGACAAACCTGTTTTTTCTCTTGGTAGTCCACAGTAGATAAAGAATGATAGATAGATAGATAGATAGATAGATAGATAGATAGACAGACAGAGATAGATGTATGTATATGTATTTATATATCT